GGGCTCCCAATGCGTGGATTGAACAATCAAATCCACTTATAGTGCTTAAGTTCCCCCCGAAGGGGAACGTTCGAGGTTACTAAAGTAACCCTTCGTTCCCCGAGGAGGGGAACGGAAGCACTATACTCCGTCGCCATAATGACTGTCCCTTAGCTGTTGAAAGTCTCTTCAGCTTAAAAAGGATAGCGTCTGCTGGCGCCAGGTGAGCTTATATACTCAGTTGATTGCTTATGCCGCTCACCTGCGCAGGCTTGCGCTGCCAATTCATTCTTAATTGGCCCGTTCAATACTCTTTCAGACGAGTAGCTTCTGAACCGAACCTCCCAATGCGTGGATTTTACAATCAAATCCACTTATAGTGCTTCCGTTCCCCTCCTCGGGGAACGAAGGGTTACTTTAGTAACCTCGAACGATCTGTTGTAACTGAAACAAATGAAGTTTCAATCAAATACATTTTTCTCATCAAAGTAATGTAACAAAATTTGTTGTCATGACTTTTTGTCAGAGCTTAATATCTCATGTCTGAATATTTTTTGGAGGTTTGACTGTATGTCAGGCATATTCAGTGGTGCTTATTAAAATTAGAACGAGAGAAATGTGTAGCGTGTGTGGAAGAGTGATGGGAATTTGTCAGCACAGGAATCTAAGAGAGAGCAACATCATATTTGTGTTCCCATGAGTAAATGTGGGAGTTTAATCCTGGATGTAATACATATCCCGACACAGAGACCGCAGACAGATACCCACACGCTGGCAAAGACAGACATAGCCAAAAGCAGGGAGAGTGCTTACTGTATGAATCATGACTACAGAAATGAAATGCTTGATCTTTAAAGCCAACAGGCCGTTTTACAGCACAAGAGGAGCGAGATGGTGGGAAGGAAGATGTTCTTTCATATTCCATTTTTTAGCATCAAAAGAACAAACACGAAATAAGTAAATACCCCAAAACAAAAGCATATGACAACAAAGACACACTTGGATGATTCCAGACCGTCCCATCTGTAACTAACTGCGCTCTGTGTTTTCCGCTCATAGTATGTAAACTGTCTAAATGCTACAATAAACATCATCTGTTGCTTACCATAACACACGGTAAAATATTTATACATGGTTTTTTAGATTTATTAAATTCAGGCCCCAGAAGAACTAAGATCTTCTAATATGCCGCTTAAGTTGCGAAACAGGGAAATATGATGATGTTCCTGTGTAAGATTTTGACTAAAAGCAAAAGCAGAAATAGGAGTCAATTTTGTTCTGTGGGGAAAAAAGTTAATGAATTTTTTTTAAATCCATGTAAAACTAAATAATTGACCTGCACTGTATTTTGTCTTTGCTCCAAAGTTTTTATAAGACATACATACAAAAATTAATTCAGAATATTCTATCAAATACAATTAATTAAATTAAATTTGATTTGATTCAAGAATTAATAAAAATATACATTAAACTATTAACTCTCACAAAGGGATTGATTGATTGATTGATTGATTGATTGATTGATTGATTGATTGATTGATTGATTGATTGATTGATTGATTGACTGATTGATTTACTGATTGATTGATTGTCAAAAATGATAGTTAAAAATTATATGAAAACTATATAAATTTTAGCTTTTATTTTCTATGGCTTAATGCCAAACAAAATTCGAGAACAAGAAACAATGGCAAGTAATCAGAGCTTGATATAAGGGCTGGGCAATACATGAAAAGTAATCGAAATCAACATTCTGAACCTATAATCAATCAAATTTTTCCAGGTTAATTTTTTTCCAATAGCTTTTCCTACCGTGTGTTGAGTCACGTGACCTTGCTTTGTTAAAGCTGATTTAAACTTCTGCGTCGAATGCACGGGTATGGTCCGGCGCAGCCTTAACAAACACGTATACCTCTTAAAGCACCTCACAAAAAATGTAACTTCACGTCGCACGTTTGCACTAAATTGGCGATGATTGGAAGCTGCGCCAGAGATGCCATGAGACAGAAAATTTTCTATTATGATGTTCAATAATAACCATGCTTATTTCCTTCAATTATTTTAAAATTAAGTAATGCACCCTTCATTTAAAAATCTCTCACTTGTAATAGGTAAACATATTTACTCTACAAAACTTGGCAGTGAACTATGATGCCCAAAAAATTTTAATTTAATCGTAATCGAGGTAAAATATTCAATTAATTGATATTTTGATTTTAGGGCAAATCCCCTGGCCCTACTTACTAATAATGTTTTTTTGACATGTTCATGTCCAGCCTGCGCATATTGCTTAAAACTTTTGAGATCTGTTTTAACAGAGCTGCCAACTGAAATAAATAATAGTGTTATGTGTTGCTTACCATTAACATTTTTTGCCCATTATCTACTGTGGGTAGTGGTCATGCTAAAATTGACCTTTAATTTCTAATTCATTATTGGCTATACAAACAATAGTTGCCTTCATTTTTTCCTCCAACATTGTTTAACATGTGTCACGTTCCATAACAAATTCCTGCATTATAGTGCAGCTTAAAAATGACTAAATAAATAAAATGCACTGGTGTGCAAGTCTCAATAGATAATTTCTTTCAGAAATATTGTTAAATAGATATTGGTATACCTAAATAAGATCAAATGTTTTCACTATTAACGTGTTTTCAGTTTCCCTTCTCCACAACACTTGACATTTAACAGCATTCAGAACTGAAATGTTGGATAAATAAAATGGCAAAGCGAACAGAACATCAAATATTATAAATGTCTGATCAAATTTATTTAAATGGAAATGTTCAGTGCAAATACTCGCTCTCATTGTCTCTCAGATGTTTCATATTCAATTAATTGCATATACATATTATTCCATTGCACATGAATACACAAGTATTGTCACTCGTATAGTTTTGAATGGGGAACAGTGTAATGGTCGATATGGCGAATGAAGCCCCGACTGCTAGTACAGAAGCCAAACAGTGATCAATATAGACTGACGTTACTCTAGGGGAAAAGCTTGCACCAGATGTGTGCTTGCACGACAAGTTTTGTGGAATCTCAGCGAATACTTGCTTTACAGACATAGGAAATATATCCACATAAAGATTGAAAGCTGTACTTTTAGATGAACTACAGTTTAAATCGAACGTTCTCTGGTTTTGTAATCTGTATAAAAATGAATACAAGCTACAGTCCGTCCTGTTTAATTGACATCACATGACAGCAACTACTCAAACGCCCACAAACTTATAAACAAAGAGTCGCTATCATTACTGGAGGAAATTCGCCATCAAGATCAAGATGTGAATAACTTCAGAAGAGCAGCGTGATCAGACGATCATTATTCAATGTTTGATAATGTGTAGAATGGCCATAAAAGAGGTTGGTGTCGTGATCTCGTTGCTTTCGAGTGCTCACGCGCATTAGCTTGGGCATCCTGAAAAAATGCAGATTTTGTTTGATTAAAACGTTTAGAAACTAAATTTATAAGATGGATGTTGCTTAATTTGATTAGTGATTAAAAATATGTAATGTAATCATAAGCTTGGCAAATAGTTTTGGAGAGTTTAATGTTTCCCCAATCAGACAAAATGCCCAAGTATACAGCCCAAGAGGAGTTTCAGAGATGGTCGCCGCGTTAAATGGCTTGCCTTAAAGGGACTTTGATATGAGTCACTTTTTAATATAAGTTACATTACATTTCAAGAGAACAAAACTAAGATATGCATATTATCATCTGTCCTCAGGTACTCTCCAGTTGGCATTGCCTCCCTCATCTGTGGTAAAATAGCTGCCATCGGTGATCTGGAAGTGGTGGCGAGACAGCTGGGCATGTACATGGTCACAGTCATCGTCGGACTCATCATTCATGGCGGACTTATCCTGCCAGTCATATTCTTCGCCGTGACTCGGAAAAATCCCTTCATGTTTTACTCTGGTATCTTCCAGGCTTGGATCACTGCTCTGGGAACGGCCAGCAGGTACATATTACTCACATCATGGTGGAATGGGTCTGGCAGCACAGACTTAAGAGTTAAAGGTCACATTTGAATGAAATATGATACTGGAATCTATCTCTGTTTTACATATAGCACAGCCAAAGCACATTCTCATACTCAAAAATGATGGTTTATACTGGTATGTGGTCTAAGATGTTTTAATATAAACTCAAACATTGCCCTTAAAAATCAGATGGATCACTTGTTATGTTTTACAGCCACATAAATCATTTGCGTAATCTAATCTGGCCGAAAATGAAACACTTTCTGATATTGTCCAGAATAGAGGAATAGAATGATTAATCAGTCTAAATGGACGAGAAATTATGAAAACATATTTTAGAGAGTTGTTTATGAATAAATCTGGGATTACATCTGTTGAGCCAGACCATTTTCTGAATGTTAAACCAACTGTCGGTTTGGCACAGAATATGCATGCAATCCTTTCGATCTTTTTCTTTTATTAATTGAAGTAATTACTTTTTTGGACTAGTATTTTGTTTGGGTAGTATTTAAAACAACACATTTACAGCTGTTAAACAACTTTTTCCTCAGTGCTGGGACGTTGCCAGTGACATTTCGTTGTCTGGAGGAGAATCTGAAGATTGATAAGCGTGTGACTCGTTTTGTGTTGCCCATTGGAGCCACCATAAACATGGATGGCACTGCACTCTATGAGGCCGTGGCAGCCATTTTCATCGCCCAGATGAACGACATTGCCTTAGATGGAGGACAAATCATTACTGTTAGGCAAGTCTCTTTGAAACTGGACAAACTGTGGCTGTGATAAAACTTTCATCAGAAAAGTCACATTCAACTAATGTTCAACTATTTTATTTTATTTTATTTTATTGTTTTATTTAATTTTATTGTTTTATTTTATTCTATCTATTTTATTGTTATTTATTTTTTGTATTGTTTTGTTTTATTCTATTCTATTTTATTTTATTTTATTGTATGCTTTATTTTATTGTTTTGTTTTATTCTATTCTATATTTTATTTTTATTGTTTTGTTATGTTTTATTCTATTCTATTTTTGATTTTTTTGTTTTGTTTTATTCTATTTTATTCTATTCTATTCTATTTATTATTTGATTTTTTTGTTTTATTCTATTCTATTCTATTTCTTTATTTTATTTTATTTTTATTGTTTTTTTTGTTTTATTCTATTCCAATTTATTTGATTGTTTATTTTTATTGTTTTGTTTTATTCTATTCTATTTTTATTATTGTTTTGTTTTATTCCATTCTATTTTTTTAATTCTATTTTTATTTTATTTTATTGTTTTGTTTTATTCTATTCTATTTTATCTTATGCTTTATTTTATTGTTTGCTTCTATTCTATTCTATTTTTTATTTTATTTTTATTGTTTTGTTTTATTTTATTCTATTCTATTCTATTTTTGTTTGTTTTATTCTTTTATTGTATGCTTTATTTTATTGTTTTTTTATTCTATTCTATTTTTATTTTAATGTTTTGTTATGTTTTATTCTATTCTATTTTTTTGTATTATATTTATTTATTTGTTTTGTTTTTTATTCTATTCGTCAATTTTTTCTTCCAGCATTTTACCACCTCATTTACATGTGCATATTTATTGGTGGATGTGGTTTGCCAAGTACGATGCAATCCTGGATTAACATCCATGTTGATCTGGAACGTTATCGAATCCATACTTAATCCCTACCCCCAAACCCAACCCTTATTAATAGGAAATAATAGTCAGATAACAATCATGTAACCCTAACTGTAAACCTAAACTTATCATAAACAGTAAACATCCCTTAAATCTGATTGGCTGATTGGAATGTTGTTCCAGGATCAACATTGATGTTGGTGAAATCACACTGTAACGTTTCCTTTATAATGCTGGGGTGCCAGACAGTATCTCACTGTCAAATAAGTCAAACAAAAAATAACAATATAAGCTGGAAACCTTACAAAGGCCTGTTAAACTTCATCAGTGTTATTCCAGATTGCCTCACTTTTGGCTGTAGTTGAATCCCCTCTCTTTCTTTCTTTCTTCTGCAGTATGACAGCGACTTTAGCCAGTGTTGGAGCGGCCAGTATTCCCAGTGCAGGTTTGGTCACCATGCTGCTGATCCTGACCGCTGTGGGCCTTCCAACTCAAGACATAAGCCTTCTCGTCGCTGTCGACTGGCTCCTGTGAGTTCAAGCATTTCTGTTTAGTTTATGCAGCGAGTCGTCGCTTACATTCCCCGTGCTGGTTTTGTGTGTGACTAATTATCAACTGTTCTCCTAAACATAAACAGCTGTCCTGAGCTGTTCTGTATCAGCTTGTAGAGCCTTATGTTGTGTGTTTGCCTTCAGCGACAGAATGCGCACCTCCATTAACGTGGTTGGCGACTCTTTCGGGGCGGGCATTGTGGACCACCTATCACGGGCAGAGCTTGCCGTGATTGACGGGGACATCCCTCTATCAGACGAGGAGTTTGTTCCACCTCCGCCACTCCTTACTGAAATAGACCTCATAGACCCTCTCAAACCGCCCGAACTGCCCCCTCGCTCCCCGCGACCCCCCAAGCTTAACCATCATGCCCCATCTCTGACCCCTTCGCAGTCTCAGTCTCACTCCATCCCGCATTCGCCCCGTTCGGTCCGCTCTCCATCCCCTCACTCCATACGCTCGCCCTCCCCACGCTCCGTCTGCTCTCACTCCCCGAGGCCTTTCCGGACGCATTCCCCTCGCCTTTTACGCAGGATGGAGCCTGGATACTGCGCCCTGCCCACTCACGACAACCAGGTGAGCCTATCACTTTCTCTAATTATTTGAAAGAAAAAGGTAGAGATATTATATTTGACTTTCTAAGATTTCTCTTTTTGAGCTTAGTTTGTTAGGTATTAGGAAAGTGAATTGGTCATAAAGACATAGCAAAATTTAAACTTAAAATTGAAACTCATTATTTACTTCATGTTGATTTGTTTCTTCTGTGGTACACAATTTCACTGTATTTCTTATGCATAAAAGTGAACACATAGCTTGTGCTCTTTATTGCAGAGTCTTCTAAACATCTTCTAATAGAGGTTGTGTCATCAGATATGTGAAAATTTTCAGTGATTAGCTTAATTTAGTAATTCTAAATTACTTGTTAATACACTCTAAAAATCTATTTTTTTTCTATTTAAATAAAATGTGGAGCCAAATAGTTTAAAAATGTGTGTACACACATAATGGAGTATTCTACATGATTGCTAAATAAATACTAACAATCAGTGTGCAAATTATACATTGAGAATCAGGGGGGTCAACTGTTTTGGTTAGTTTGTGTAATACATGGTTCAGTCATTTATGTATTTATTTTTTTGTTAGATCTGTTGTATTAATGAAATGTATTTAAGTTTTCAGAGTTTTGATGAATATTTTGTGTATTCTGACCTCTGATTTGCTATTTCAGATGTTAGTGTAGGTCAAACTACAAACTATGTGTCTAATTTGACATTACTTTCATGCTAAGATCGCAAATTTTTACGAGAAAACAAAGTGTTGTGAACACAATGTCTGTCTATGCTCTAGATCTGCCAGTTTCAGACTTTTTTTCAATAGACTGATTGGTACGATTATGCATTCACAATAGTTTGAACCGTTTTAGGTATGTTAAAATGCATATTTACATCATCTATTATTTTAATTATTAGCATTATAATTTAAAATGCAGATCAGAGTAAAAATATTTCTCAGTATTAAAGGCTTGCCCCCCCCCCTCCCCCCCCCCCCCCCCCCCCCCCCACACACACACACACACAACTTGTTTTGACGTCCTTCAGGGGGAATTAGGCGTTAATTAGGTGGGTCAATCCCTCTCAAAGCCTCCTGTAATTCACACCCTGCTAACAGTCCATCTACAGTGCACATGAGGGCTTTCCACATAACTTCTCATTACACCCTTTTTTGTCTCGTCAGATATGCAACGCTCTAGTCAGATGCCAATTGTATCATTCTCAAAATCTGTTCAAATACAATGAATCTGTTATCTGTACTGTTATACTTCATAAATATATAACATATACAGTTGCAATCAGAATTATTAAACCCCCTGAATTATTAGCCCCACTGTTTATTTTTTTCCTCAATTTCGGTTTAATGGAGAGAAGATCTTTTAACACATATCTAATCATAATAGTTTTAAAAACTAATTTTTAATAAAGGATTTATTTTATCTTTGCCATGATGACAGTAAATAATATTTTACTAGATATTTTTCAAGACACTTCTATTAAGCTTAAAGGTTCAGGACACCCCGGAGAACTTTTTTTTATATTAACAGATGTGTGTGTGTTGAGCATCAGTTAAGACAATGTTAGCACCTGTCAGCTTTAATTGTGGGGAAAACTGAATAATTTTGAGCTTTTGTCAGCTAATTTCAGCTTCCGGGTTTAAAATGATTTTTGGGGTGGGATCAAAATCGGCGACATAGCGCAGTACTGCAAGTACAATGATGACGCGTCGGTTTCTCATTATTATTCATAGCGGAGTTTTCTTATCCTATGAGAAGAGCCGGCTGCTTAATTATTCATGAGACCTGCCAGACCTGCCAGTGTCAAGCCCGAGCTGAGAGACACGGAAACCACGGCACAGTATTTAGCCGTTCATGAAGGCTCATATGCGTTTGTTTCCATCATCCACGGGGTTTGTTGCATGTTTTCCCCCGCGATCTTGTCAGGGCCAATCATACAGCAAAGCTATGTGTGTGCTGCTAGCATTTTTGTCGGGAGAGCAGCACGAGAATTAGAGAATGGCGAACGCAGTCTTTTATCAGGAGTTCGTTCAAATTCAGACACATCGCCGTGCTGCTGTGTTTGCCTAAATCCTCCAGATTACCAGCAGGGCTAATGGTTAAAATAGACAGGTCAGGAGACCTGCTGCACTGAGTCTGCTGGATACGGGGATTGAGGGAGAAGTCCTCATTTATAGTGTTTACATGAACACACATCTTTATAATGATATAAATTGTGGTTGTCTGTATATGAAATTAGGAATAACAAATGTAGCAGGGCATTAAATCACTGTTCATTTCTTTGCATTTTTACTTTGTAAACTATAAACTCATGCGTCTCCTCACGGTTTGTGTCTCATTTTGTGAGCTAACTGACAACAACAGTTGTTCGCTCACGTTCTCCCCTGCTAGCCACGCCCACTCCTGCCCACTGCTCGTGGAGCTCCACGCCCATTAATCATGCATCTTTTGAAAAAATTCTGAAGTAGACTTTAACCGAAAGTGGGGGGTGTCATGGCCCTTTAAAGTGACATTTAAAGGATTAGGGTAATTAGGGTAGTTAGGGTAATTAGGCTAGTTATTGTATAACGATAATGATGCTTTGTTCTGTAGACTATCGAAAAAATATATATAGCTTAAAGGGGCTCAAAATATTAACCTTAAATTTAATTTTTTTTTTAATTAAAAGCTGCTTAGATTCTAGCCAAAATAAAACAAATAAGACTTTCTCCAAAAGAAAAAAATATTATTAGACACTGTGAAAATTTCCTTGCTCTGTTAAATATTGTTTGGGAAATATTTAAAAAAGAAAAGTAGTTTCAAAGGGGGTTTAATAATTCTGATTGCAACTGTATATCTTTCAAGGTCTACCTAATTATTATTTAAGTTTTAATTATACATTTACAGGCCACTTTATTAGGTGCACCTATTAATACACTTAGGTTTTACCATCAAAATTGTCTTCATGGCATTAATTTAGCATGTTGCTGAAAACATTTATCAGAGATTTTAATCCACAATGTTATGACTTAATTTTACAGTTACTGCAGATTTGTTTGTTGCACATCAATAGCAAATTATCCCTTGTTTCAGCAAATTCCAAAGATCGGTGACTGTGGAGGCCAATTCAGTATATTTAACCTATTAAGGCAATTTAACCCACTTAATTTCTGCTTATTAGATATGTTCAATTTTTTTGGACCACTCTCTGAGACCTTAGAGATTGTTGTGCTGGAAAAATTCCAGTAGAAGATTTCAGTTTCTGAAAAACTGGGAGTAACCTGTCTAGCAGCAAAAAACATATGTTTACTGACTCTCAAATCACCTTGTTTTCACAAGCTTAGTGAACCCAGTGTTTCAGACATTTTGTGAGGTTGTTACTGTATATATATCTTACAGTTAAACTATTAGTTGTATATTAAGTTATGTAATGTTAATTACATATTTACCTTTAAATGGGCTGAAGAACAAACAGTTGAAGTCAGAATTATTAGCCCCCCTGAATTATTAGCCCCCCTGTTTATTTTTTCCCCCGAGAGATTTTTTTCAACACATTTCTAAACATAATATTTCTAATAACTGATTTATTTTTTCTTTGCTATGATGACAGTAAATAATATTTTACTAGATATTTTTCAAGACACTTTTATATAGCTTAAAGTGACATTTAAAGGTTTAACTAGGTTAATTAGGTCAACTAGGCAGGTTAGAGTAATTAGGCAAGTATTGTATATCGTGTTTGTTCTGTGGACTAAAATATCTATCATTTATATCGTTTAAACATTCACATTTTTTAATGATTTCTAATTGTATACATTTACATTTTTTTTATTGCTTGTTTGGCGTATTTCTTGTGGATGTGCTGTTAAAAGTCACCCTATATCCCACAGATTACCACACTTCCCAGAGGTTTTCGGGAGAGAGGCAGAGACAGGGAAAGAGACAGGGAAAGAGACAGAGAAAGAGACAGAGAAAGAGAGAGACTGAGGGAACGGGAACGAGATAAAGGAAGCGAGACCGAAGAAGACGAGGAGAAGGAGAAGATGGTGGACGAGGCGAGCGACGGAGAGGAAAGTGACGACACAGCGTACGACAGACGCCACACTATCCCACCATGTGATCTGCCCTAAAGAGGAGCAGATTGCGGCTTTTCCATATTTTCACAATTCTTCTTCCGTATTTCAGCACCCGCCTTGCTGGATGAAAGCTGTTGTTGGTTGTTTGGCAAAGACTTTGAGTACCTACGTGTGTTGTGTGTTTGTTTTGCTTTCAGAAACGGGACATGAGGGAGGATTCATTGGCAAGTGTGTTTCTTAGCATCAGCTTTATAGTCTAGCAACACCAATCGTTTGTATCTTGCAGCTCATTTGCTTTCGCTGGTTATTTGCTTTTACAGGATTTCAGTAACAAACCGGATCAGTGGCTTTGAGCGTTTATTGCACGTGCACTGCCAATCTTGATTTTATTTAGTCTTTGTCCTCCCTTATCATATCATTTATCTAGGCTACTGGGATACTGATTAAAACACTGGAGGTCATTGCTCTGCGTTGTAAAATCCAGACTTACTCAGTGCTTCAAGGAAAAGAAGTTCTTGACTCATTTGAGCTGCGTTAGTTTACTTTATTTTTGCCTAGATGTCCCCTGTTCATTGCCAGTGCAACATAAACAAAGAAATGACAACAGGCAGCTCAAATGAGTCGAAGCAGTTGCTTTCTATAAACAATCCCAAGTTGTTCCACATCTCCTGTTTTATGATTTGTGGGGTTTTTTCTCTTTTGACGGCGGCGAGGACGTCATAAGCAGCTGTGAGTAACACGAGGAAGTTTCTCTCCGAGCCCCTCATGTCCTTTCCTGCTCCGCATGTCTTAAAAATCTGAATCATATACTGGGAAAATCATTATAATTGACAAATTTACCAACACACTGTTTAGATTAGTGGGTGTGACGTCAGGCTTGTTACACAAATCTGACGTAGTACTTTTGTTTTTATTATACCGATTGACCCCTTGAAAGTTGTCCATTCTCATATGAATGAGAGTTAAGTTCTTAGTTAATAGAAAAAAAGTTTATCATACATATCAAAAGTTTATATATGTATATATCTATTAGGGGTGTGAACCTACTCTGGTCTCTTGGTTCAGTTACGATTATCATGCCATTGATTCTGTTCAATTCTATATCATGGTGCATTGATGCTTTCAATACACAATTATATATTACTTCACTGCACAACAATTTCTGTATTAATATTTATAAATATATTTACATTTATATATTATTTGTAACAATTTGTTCAATACAAACAGTCAGATATAATAACTGTACTTTTAAAAACTCAAGTACATGCACAAAGCAACAAGAGCGTTTATAGCAAATAAACAATTATAAACATCCCGCTCTCTTTCTGAGCGTTGCCTAGCGAGCTCTTACACCCCTATGTCTAGTGACACGCTCAACAGAAAGGACTGCGATTGACTCTAACACTCTGGCGCTGTTCACCTATGAGTGACACTGATAAACGGCTGCGGCAATCACAACAGCTAATTCATGATAAACATGGAGGAGAAAACCTGCCCTGCAGAAAAGCACTCGTGTCTGTATTCAGAAGTATTGCTGTAGCAGCCAAGAGGAGAGGAAACGTCATGCCAGCAGGTCAAAGGGCCACAGTGAGAGAGAGAGAGAAATGAGTTTCATTTTCTCCATAATAGTCAAACAGGGTTTCTGCCGTAACTTTTAAAGTAGTTGAAGTGTTTTAATTACTCGTGCTTGCCTCCCTCGCCATAGTAAGCTACTGCAATATAGTCCATATGAGATAAATGATGTCAGGACATCATAACCAGTTATGATCCATTACTGAATCAATACCGAATTGTCCGCGTCTGCATCACGGTGCACGGAAGAAACTATTAATTTTGACACCCTTATATATATATATATTTGGGGTCATTCATTTTTTATCAATATTCTGTTTCGTTTATGAAAAAGTTTTATATGTAAATAATATATAAAAGTTTATATAATAAAATTTTTAATTAAACAAAGTGACAGAAGGGACATTCACGATGATGCAAATTTTTTAATTACAATTTTTAACAATAATAATAGTTATAATGATGATGATGATAATAATATTAATAATATCAATAATAATAATAATAATATTCATTATTTTTCCTTTCAGTGCGGCACGTTAGCTCAGTGGTTAGCACTATTGCTTCAAAGCAAGAAGTTCACTAGTTTGATTCTCGTCTGGCCAAGTTGGCGTTTCTGTGTGGAGTTTGCATGTTCTCCCTGTGCTCTGGTTTCCCCCACAGTCCAAAGACATGTGCTATAGGTGAATTGAATTAACTAAATTGTCCGTGGTGTATGAGAGTGTGTGTGTGTGAATAAGTGTGCATGGGTGTTTCCCAGTACTGGGTTGCAGCTGGAAGGGCAATTGCTGCATAAAACATATGCTGGAATAGTTGGCAGTTCATCCCGCTGTGGCGACCTTTGACATAGAGACTAATCTGAAAGAAATTTAATGAATTATTGCTTTTAGCAAAATTCTGATGTTGAAAATGATTTTTTCAATCACTGTAATATTTAAATCAAATCATCTGTATTACATCTGTACTTAAATTATATTTTATAATTCAGTACTGTATTTTTTAACAAATATGATCTTGAGCATAAGAAACAACCTTAAGAAACAAAACTCTTCTGAAAAAAACTCTACTAAACTATATAGTGGAAAAAACTAAATTAAAAATATGATAAAAAATAGTATAATTGTTTCATTTATTAAATATAATGAACATATTAAGAGAACTCAGGAGAAGTCAAGAAAAAGAAAAGCTTACTATTTATTTAATTTATTTCTCATTTAAAGTCTTAGAACCATTTCTATACAACATATACAATTTTTCTCAAATTGTTCTAATCTTTGTAATATTACTGTACATCTGCAATTGTCTAGTTTATTTGTATGAAGTATTCTGACCTGGCAAATCTCGTACACAAAAACAACCTCAGAAACAGCGATATGTTTTTCCTTCACAATTAAAGAATTACTTTGATGTTGCATTGTTGTAATTTGCTCTTATGCATTATCTTTATTGTCTAGTGTTCCACTGAAACTAGTAAATTTTTATCTCTTCATTTATGATGTCTTTTGTCCAACTCATGTATTTATTATATTTATTATTTCCCTCAGAATGTCTCTCTGATATACGCCTATTGGTTCACCATGTCCCCCGCTGTCCCTCTGAATTCATATAACCACATCAGCTGCTGTCTGTGGGGTGTGTAATAAAATCTGAACAATTTCTTTCACGTATTCCAGTGATTTGTGTTTTAATGCCTCTTGTGTAAGAGTCGATGTCAACGTGAGGCACGTTTAAATCCCGTCTCGACTGCTGGACGGACGAAATCCCTTCAAGCGCACACACAGAGTCAAAATTTACTTCCACAATGATGAGACAAAGACATCAAAAACACTTAATCCGCTCAAGGGAGAGAGCAAAGGATGGGAGAGGGCAGCAGATGGCCAGAAAGACGTCAATCCTCCTCATTCTTCCCAGGACAACAGTGAGGCAGGACACGGATGATTGCAAGGGATACTGACGTTATTGTGGGGACACTGGACGTCACAGAAAAGCTTAAGGGAGTAAGTGTTGAGATGAAAGGGCAAAATTGCAATTGAAAGAAAGAATGTCATCACTCTTGAAAATCAAGGTGCCATGATGAACCAACAAGTGGTTTCAGTGATGCCACAGAACAACCTTTTAGTAAAATAGTCTTTAATTGATCTTTTTTCCACTCTAAAGAACATTTTGTGGAATAAAAATGTAAATATGCATCTTAGGGTTCATTATGAAATGCTGGTGATAAAGATCATAAGCCTCATTTTCACTTTTTCACACTAACAGATATTTGACTGAATAGAATATGTGTGTTTGGCGTGCTGTCCGGGGAGAGGGCTCTGAGCTTGGAGGACACCATAACTCCTGTTATTCCCTTTATCAATATAGAGATTGATTGGGTCAGATCGCAGTGCTTAGTCCGGCTCCAGAACGCTCCCCCTCAGATTTAAAAAGGTATCGTGTTTAATAGTGTGGAGTTGGGGTGGTGGAGGGATGCTGAACTCAAGAGAAAACAGAGGTATGACGTGTTTGACTATTTATAGAGGTTTGGCTTGAGCTGATTGGATAATAGAATGATTGTCTGTGATGAATTAGCCTTGTCAAAGACCGTGCGGCTCCTGAAATTTGTTTATAAAACATAATTTAATACACATTTTACATATGATAATCTTTGTTATGCACATAAAATGCTGGGTTCCACACAATTATTTCATGTTGTGCCAACACAAGTCAACGAATTAAGATGTCCGAAACCAAATCGTGAAACAGGTAAATCCAGTAACTTGTTCGATAAGTCAAGTCTAGTAAGGATGTGAAAAAAGTGCATTGCTTAGATCAGTGTTTCTCAACCACGTTCCTGGAGGACCACCAGCTCTTCACATTTTCCATGGCTGCGTCCAAAATTACATACTTCAAAAATCAGTTTGCGTGCTAAGTAGTATGTTTGAACTTATATAGTTTGAAAATCAGTATGTAAGAATTACCCTGATAACCTACTACTTCCGGTGAGATTCTGAAGTGTGCATCGGATGGACGCTACCCTATCCCATGATGCCCCTTGAGCGAATTCATGAATGCGAGTGAAGCGACGCAAATCATGCGGGTAGGTCCCGTGATCATGACAAAATGGTGGATGTAGTATATACAAATTACTTTCTTTCTGATCATATTCATACTGTATGGAACGTACTTTTCTAAAGGCAGAGTAGTACATTTAAATTCAAATACAGTACATACTAAGCAGTAGGCAGGTTTGGACATAGCCCATATCTCCTTAACCAAACACACCTGATTTAGATTATCAGCTCATTAGCAGAGACTGAAAGACCTGAAATGAGTGTGACATGCAGTGTTGGTGGTCCTTCAGGAACGTGGTTGAGCACCACTGGCTTAGATTTCACTCCCCCAGTGGCGTAGGAAGGGGAGGGTGTATTATATTGCCACCTCCTAATCCATACCTGCCGACATTTGTCTTTGAAATTCTGGGAGACCGGTTTAGTAAATGTACTGTTGTGTTAGTAACTGTAATGGACCAAAGTTGGCAACCCAGGGCTGTAACTGACTGTACCAAAAATCCTAGGATAATAGCAATAGCAGCTGGTGGTTTGTACATATATTTGCGCAAAATATAATTTAGGGTGGACTGCTTCACCAACCAAAATCAGTGCTTAAACTTCATATCCAGTTATGTCCAAAATGTTCCAGAGTTCCTTTCTGAATTTGCTTGTTAACACAAAAAATGGGCAAATATGACAGGATTTAATAAATAATCTGTGTAGTAATTTGAGCTGAAACTACACATTTTAAAAACCCATTCTGGAGACACCAATGATTTTGCATCTTATATCATAAACAAGGACATATTGTGTCTCCTTTAAAGCATTAGTTTAGGAAAAAAATAATAATGTTATTAATTATCTCATGACTCAACCTCGCATAAGTGGCAGACGACGATGATGATAATGATGAAGATGTCATTCCAATCTCTTGAGTCCTTCATTCATGAACAGAAAGGAAGACATTTTAGATGAACTTAGAGAGCTCCCTTATCCTCCATAGACAGCAACGATATCGAGAGTTCAAAAAAGTAAACAAAAACATTGTCAAAACATGGACTTCGTTGGCATCTATATGTATCAATATGAAGGTCTCTGGGGATTGGATCAACATACAGTTGAAGTCAGAATTTTTAGCCCCCCTGATGTATGCAAACATATGCAACTGTTAAATTACACCTCAATATTTACAATCTTTTAACATTAACAGCAATCTAGCGATTATTGGCAGAGCAGGCAATCGTGTTAGTGTTATCTTTTGTTGAGATAAGTCATGTAAACATAAAAAAAGTTAACTTAATGCCACACTGCCCTCTCTAGCCGAGGGGACAGTATTGAAGTGTCCTTGCATCCTGTGGTCTCCTAGGTGAGAATACACACGGCGCTTTTATGGACTCTTATCTGTTCTGTTTAAACTGCCGCCTCCACTCCCATTTCCTCTCAGTACTGTGGAATTAACTGAAACACTTTATATTAAATAAACACTGATTAATCTGCCACACGCAAACGTATATGCATTTACCTCTGGATGCAGGCGTCGGGGGTCCCGCCATTGTCTGAGATCAATGGCATGACTGGCACGGCCATGTGAGATTTACCATCAGTTTATCCTCGTTCATTTCCTGAAAACAAGTTTGTTATCGTTTTTCCTTTTCGTACTCGAGTGACTCATGGATTCTCTGTCGCTCTCTCATTCCTACCGTATAAATACAGCTTTTAAGGGACATGTCTTCTGTGTGGACCATCGCAGCCTCTGGAGGTCTTGGAGACTTCGCCGCTCTGTTTTTTATTTTGTATACAAGTCAAACTGAAGGCTCATTATTCCTTTTTTTTTTAGTTCACTGCTTTCCTCCTGCTCAGCTTTGTCAGTCATGCTTCTTGCCTGCTTTTTTATATTTTTTGCTCTTTTTCCTCATCTTCGGTGGTGTATGTATGTTCCTGCACAGAACGTGCTTCTGCAGTTTGGCACACAAGTCAGGGAACGCCTGCTTTACACAGGTAATCTTTAATTTTCACCAAAATTAGTGGGTTTCTGATTCTGCTGGGTCGTTTCAACTAAAATTTGACTAAAATATGGATAAATTTAGTCATTGTGTCATATTTTTAAATTCAGTTCAATTCATCTTTATTTCTATAGCGCTTTTACAATGTAGATTATGTCAAAGCAGCTTAACATGGAAGTTCTAGTGAATTGAAACAGTGTCAGTCCAGTTTTCAGAGTTGAAGTTCAGTTCATTGTTGATTTAAATTTCACTGCTGAAAGTTCAAACAGCTAAGAGTGTTAAATGTTTATTTAACCCCAACTGTTGGGTTTGTTCATGTTTTACTCAAATTTGGGTTGAAGCAACCTGGCATTTAAAAGAGAATGATCAGATGTTAGGATGTGTTTAATGTGGGTAACCGTGACATGTGCTACTTGCTTCCGTCAACACAGTAGCTATCTTCACTGCAAACATCAGCTTTGTATTTTGTCTTGTTTTTAAGCATGAACATCCAAACATCTTTAAAATAGAGATAGATTTAATGGAGAAACAAAATTATTAGTTAAAAAAAGATTAATTCAAAAGGAAAAACAACCTCTTTGGTAGACATTTATTATTGTTTTATGTTTAACTTGATTTAATTTTAATCAATTTTTCAGAAAACGATATTATCTGTCAATTAGCTTCTGTCTTGTTTCAAAACATTTGTACTGGAAAACAAGAATACAGAGAAATTAATAGGCTTGTTAATCAGGTTAACTAGGCAGGTTAGGTCATTGGGCAAGTAATTGTATAACGATGGTTTGTTCTGTAGACTATCGAAAAAAATATAGCTAAAAAGGGCTAATAATATTGACCTTAAAATGTTTTTTAAAAATTAAAACCTACTTTTATTATAGCCGAAATAAAACAAATAATTTTCTCCAGAAAAAAACTATAATATAAATATATATATTTTTTGTCACACTAAAAATACAGAGAATTTTTATTCATCACACTAAAAATAGGAACTCAGTGTATCTATGAAGAACCTTTAACATGCTTAGAGCCTTTCCTTTCCACAAAGGGTCATTTTATAATTGAAAAATATTCTATAGATTATTAAAAAATGTTTCTCTCACTAAGCAAAACGTTTCCTTTTAGATACCATTTATAATTTGTGTTTCATTTTGAGCATTCACTGATTTATTTGTGCAGTGTTTTGTTAATTGAGTGTGTTCATTATTATTGTTATTGTTTTTAGATGGGTTGTTTCTTGAAATGAATCCAGATGGCTCCGTCAAAGGCTCTCCTGAAAAGAATCTAAATTGTAAGCAACCACTGCAAACACAAGCATAGTTTGTGCATAAAGAGTATAGTTTGCTGTTAGAGAACCACTGTAACTCATGTAAATATCCTTCAAGTAAAAATGTCCTATCAGAAAAGATAACGAGTTCATAAAATCTGAGATACTGTGATTTACAATAACACATTTGTTGTTATTTTGGTTTGATGTAATGCTAACACTCTGTAAGTGCTGTTCTTTTTACAATATTAAAACCATGTTTACAGCTTAGTTCATTAAAAATAATATCAAGCTATTTTAACATTTATAATGAGAAAAATACAATTTCTTATGTGATGATTATGTCTCACGGTGGCGCTGGTTAGTTAGTATCTGAGGTTCAAAGGTGGTGTGTGTGCGACTGATCTGGGAACTGACGGAGGTGTGGTGTGGTTTACTGCAGGTGTGCTGGAGCTGCGTTCAGTCAAAGCGGGTGAAACCGTCATCCAGAGTGCAGCTACATCTCTCTACCTCTGCGTCGATGATCAAGACAAGCTGAAAGGACAGGTATGAATAGAAGTACTCCATTGCAATGATGTACTATTCAGTTAAAAACCAAAAAGTATATAATTACACACATATATATAATATATTATATAATATATAATATGTATATAATAACACAATTAAAATTTTTAACAAATATATCATAAGATCACAGTCTAAAAAAAGTACACCCACATTAATATATGAGGGAAAATATTACATAAAAATTTACGAAAGAGGAATAATTATGAGAAAATTTTGTAGATTGCAAAAAAAAAAAAATGCAATACTTCAATACCTTTAAATATATTATGTTTCTATTTCTAATGATGTTTGTGACCAACTCTTATTTTAATTGAAATAACTTATATAACCTCTGGGTCTTAAAGAATCCCCCATCCACCCCTACTCCTCCCCTCTTTCCTAGACTAATCCAGGACAGGGCGACACGGTGACTCAGTAGTTAGCACTGTTGACTCACAGCAATAGGATCACTGGTTTGGGTCCTGGCTGGGTCAGTTGGCATTTCTGTGTGGAGTTTACATGTTTTCGCTGTGCTCCTCGCGTGGGTTTCCTCTGGGTACTCCGGTTTCCTCCCACAGTCCAAAGACATGCGCTATAGGTGAATTGAATAAGCTAAATTGGCACAGTACATGAGTGTTTTAGTACTGGGCATTCACCACATAAACATATGCTGGTATATTTGGTGGTTCATTCTGCCGTGGCAACCCCTAATTATCAAGGAATAGGCTGAGCGAACAAATTTGGGGGAGCTCTCAAGACCTGCTTTAGCTCAGACTCCCCTCTCTCCGCGATGAAACGGGAGGAAGCCCCAGGCTCAAGGATCTACTTAGCTTAGGGCTCTCACCCGGGACAGCATGCCAAACACACTCTATTATCAATCATCAGCTAAGTGTGAACTCTTGAATTGCATGTGTAGCACTTCTCACAAAACAGATGCTTTATATAAATAAATAACTGTACCCTTGCTGCTATGTACCGTGAACTGATTGGTGTATCATTACACCCCTAAAAAGCATCTTAAAATAATCGTTATTGTTTATACAAGTAAATAAAAATGTTTCATGATCAAATCAGCATGCTGGAATGATATCTGAAGGATCGTCTGACACTGAACACTGCAGTAATGATGCCGAATATTCAGTTTGCTGTTTTAAATACACTACCTGTCAAAAGTGTGGGGTCAGTTTTTTTTTTTTTACATGTTTTCTTTTTAAGAAAATTATGCTGTTCATCAAGGTGGTATTTAATAAATATGAACAAAATGTTAAATTGTTAAATATTTATTGCTTTCGTATTGTATGTATGTTTGTATGTATGTTTCAAATAAAATTATTACTTCAGTCATTATTGCTTGTATTACTATTACCATTAATAATAATAATAATAATAATTATTATTATTATTATTATTATTATTATTTTTATTATTATTCATAATAATAATAATTAATAATAATAATATTAGAGTGACTTCTGAAGGATCATGTGACTCTGGAGTATGAAATGAATATTCCTCTTTATAAAATAACTGTTCAAAAGTAGTTTATAATTCAATTTAATCATTTATTCCAGTGATTTTAGTGCAGGATAAGCTTATCTTAAAACAATTAAAAATCCTACTGACCCCAAACTTTTAACCAGTAGTGTACATATTAAAATAGACAATAAGTATGTAAATTATTAAAATATTAACAATATTATTGTTTTTACTGTCTTTTCAGTCAAATAAATGCAACCACAGTGAGCAGAAAAGACAAAAATGTTAAAACCCAAAAACTTTGATCAATATTTTGTAGACAAACAATATGTAAGATCACTAAGGTTACATCATATAATTAATAGTTTTCTAATTATTAATGATATATACCTTTTTCACAGTAAGCTACATAAATTAATGTATTGTAAATGTCATCATTTTTCATTTTAAATATTGACAGTGGGCATTGAATTAACTGTTATGCTCACTTAATTTTTTGACAATTTTCACTAGAGACATGAGCACTTTTGATTGTCTGTATTCTCTGTTTTCTCTTTCAGCATCATTACTCTGCACTAGACTGCACCTTTCAGGAATTGCTACTGGATGGATATTCGTTTTTCCTTTCTCCACACACTAATCTTCCCGTATCGCTCCTCTCGAAACGTCAGAAACACGGCAATCCTCTTTCTCGCTTCCTCCCTGTTAGCAGAGCAGAGGACAGCCGGACACAGGAGGTGAAACAGTATATTCAGGATATAAACCTGGACTCTGACGACCCACTAGGAATGGGACATCGGTCACACTTACAGACCGTCTTCAGTCCCAGTCTGCATACTAAAAAATGAAGACATGCTTTACATTAGCACTGGACTGCAAGGTTAAAAATGATATGTTACTGTGCTTTTTTGTTTTTGTCAGGAACTGTATTTATTTAAATATATTTATTTATTTGCTGTGGTCTAATTTATTTAAATGAAGTAATTTATATATTGTTAATGCGATTGGTAACTTAAACATTTAAATGACAGACGTCTGCTGGAGCAGATTACACTTTCAGTTCTTTTTGTAGTTCACTGAGTCTGTATGATTTTTGCTTGATTAAAAATTGTAATAAATAATATTCCAACATGGCTCAGAGTTACACAATTCATAGAGCACACACATACACACCAGATAATACACCACAGAATGTTCTATAAGGCTTTTGAATTCACAAACTGCTCAGAACAGCAGTAACACTAAACTGTTCCAGATGAATGATGCTTAAGACTTTATCCGTCCGTCGACACACAAATCCCTGGCACATTCATGGCCACAACCCGGGTGACAAAATACATGACATTTAAATGACACCACTCGGCGCTTCTTCCTATGAATAAGTCCCATATATATATGCAGAGAATTCCAGTAAGATCTTTAAAGCGAAGGTGCAAACACTTATATTGCACAACACAGCTCAGCTTATGCTCAGCGAAGCATTAAGGCTCCACTCTTTAAATAGATAAAAATAGCTTTACAAAAAATACATTCAGTGATTTAAGGTTCACTGTAAAGGTTGCAATGTCAAAATAAAAGTTCCAAAACTGGAACGTTGGGAAGATGTTTTATGGAGGTCATGTTAGTTTTTTTGTGACTTCTTCAAACATCTCGTCTTCTGCATAAGTTGCTTTCTGTTATTTTTGCTTCCAACAACCCAACCCCTCCTCGTATTTAACTCTAAATAGATATAGTTTGACTTAAAAAAAAAAAAACAGAATAAAAGTTGCAATGTCAAAATAAAAGCTTGCAACTGAGAAGACATCATGCGGATGTTTTTGTGACTACATTTCTTGTGCTTTAAGCTATGTCGTGTATTTTGTACGTCCTCACCTTCTTTGTCAATTGCTTATTGTTGTTTTATGTTTATTTACATTAAATGTATTAAATTAGCAGATGCTTTTATCCAAAGCAACTTACAGATAAAAGATAAAAAAGGATAAAAAAAATCCTTTCCGTGATCCACGTATATTCAACTCTCTAAATAGATAATAAAAACTAAAGTCAGTGTACAAGTTGTGATGTCAAAATAAAAGCTGGAAAGTAGCGGGGTCAAGTTTTGTTACTATACTTTTCTTGTCCTTTGGCTACTGTATTTGTTTTTTTACTTGACCATCTTCTAACCATCTATTAACTTTATTGATAGCTAAAAATACCTTGCAAATGCATCTTACATTTTGTACCTACTTCCAGTCAAGTGCTTTTTGTTTTTGTTGTTTGTGAAGTTTTTGCATCTATTCCATCCTATCATTCCCATAAATTAAATAAAAAAAATTGTTTCACTTGAAACACAGTAAGGGGTGTCCAAACTCAGTCCTGGAGGGCAGGACATAGTTTAGCTCCAACTTCCTTCAACACATCTCCTGGAAGTTTCTAGTATACCTAGAAAGAGCTTGATTAGCTAGTTCAGGTATGTTTAATTGGGGTTGGAACTAAAACATGCAGGACAGAGGCCCTCGTGGAACGAGTTTGGACACCCTTAGTGTAAAAGGTTAAATGACAAAATAAAAGTCCTGTAAGTGTAAAGCATTGAAAATGGGTTGTATGCACACAGACTTTTAATTTCAGTCAGCCAGCCCTATGGCTTCCGGTTAATTGTCAGACGCGTTTAAGATCTGATTTCTTTTAAAAAAACAGCGATCTTAACTACCTGGCTGAGATTCGATATATCAGATCAAATAAGAACCACTGTATTAAATTATTTTTCCATGCCATGTTTTTAAAATGTGTAAATTAATTGTACCCCAGTATTTTCAATAAAGTTGCTGTGCTAGCCTTCTGCTAATGACAGCGACTGTGCTAAAACCATCTTTCATCTCTTTTTACGCTTTTACAACTAAATTAATGGTTAAGTCTATTTAATTAAATGTATTGTAATCATATTAAAACATTGATGCTGTAAAAAGAACCTTATGAAATTGAAAAAAGTCACAAAGTTTTCACCAGAAGTTCCTCATTGGCTGGAAAACACTAGCTGTGCATATAGTCCATTGAATGGAGGTTACATCAACGTTCATACTTTTCTTGTCCTTTGACTGCCTCCTCATCCTCTTCAATCATTATCTGTTTCTCCTTTTATTCCTTCCCATCATCCTCATGTATTCGGAGAGTCACAGTGAGGCAGTGCCTTTTTAAACATGGTCAACCTCCATAATCTCTCATTGCTCCTGCTTGATCTTCAGTCTCTCAGACTTGAGTGACCATTGGATAAATGCTTCCTACACTTTGCTCTCCAGGCTTGCCTGAACAAAGCCCAGCCAGCAGAGTCCCATTGAGAGGGGTGCAGTTCCCCCTGTAAGCCGTCCCTCCTTCAAGAGGAACCTGGTCTCCCTGTTCCCCAGGCCCTTCCTCCCCATTTTCTCCATCCTCCCCACCTTCCTCCTCCTCCTCCCAAAGTGAGGTGCTGACGTGCGTGTACTCCTGGTTGTCCTCGCACTCCATCTCCCGATGGTAGAAGTAGCTGAAATTGGACACAATGACGGGAACAGGAAGCGAGATGGTCAGCACACCCGCAATGGCGCACATAGAGCCGACCAGCTTTCCTCCTACAGTCACTGGGTACATATCTCCATACCCCACTGTCGTCATTGAAACCACAGCCCACCAGAAGGCCTCTGGGATGCTGGTGAAGGCCGTCTCTGGGTTGTCCACCTCTGCGAAGTACGCAGCCGAGGAGAATAGGATGACTCCGATGAAAAGAAAGAAGATGAGAAGCGCCAGCTCCCTCAAACTGGCCTTCAGCGTCTGGCCCAGGATTTGCAGGCCTTTAGAGTGGCGAGAGAGCTTGAAGATTCTGAAAACTCTGACCAGACGGATGACCCTTACTATGGCCAGGGACATGGATGGCGTTGCTCCCTTGGACTTGGCCAGCTCGGTGCCGAGCGTGACGAAGTAGGGAATGATGGCGAAGAAGTCTATGATGTTCATCACGTCCTTAAAGAAAACCATCTTATTGGGGGAGCAGGTGAAACGCATGATTAACTCAAATGAGAACCAGCAGATGCACATGGTTTCCACCAGGAAGAAAGGGTCATGGAAGGGAGAGGACATGGAGATGTGTGAGGTGTTGTTTCCGGCAAGATGTGCCTCGTATGCCATTTTCTGGAAAAGAAGGAGAAAAGATGCGGATTAGAATTAGACCCTTTTACACCTGGTATAAAGATATGTTATTGGTCAATATGACTACAGGTGGACAGTGCTAAGTACAAGTGTAAGCAGAGTTTAAAGCCACTTTTGACCATGACCAGAGGATAGTCCAAAAAAAGTTGATCGATTTAAAGTGAATAAATGGCCTACTCCATATTGACTGAACAGGATGTGTTGTGCACTCTTTAGTTTGTCCACAAGGTGACAATACTGAACCAGGCCATTGTTCCACAGCTTTCAAGGAATGAAATACGAACAAAAACATACTATTGAAAACGGCAAAAACTATTTATGTCCATGTGTTGACGAGTGTATATGTGAGAGAATTACAGAACGTCCATACTGTAACTCTGTTCAGAGAAAGCTCTCTGAAATCAAGGTACTCTTACTCTTACATTACGGCCCATAAGATGGGTTCGTTCATTCGATAAATCTTTTTTGCATTGCGCTGACCACTCCAAAATGAACAAGATTTGAATGCATTTTGGGCAGCACAGTGGGTAGCACGATCACCTCACAGCAACCCCGGCTGGGTCAGTTGGCATTTCTGTGTGGACTTTGCATGTTTTCCTCATGTTTGTGTGGGTTTCCACCGGGTGCTCTGGTTTCCCCCACAGTCCAAAGACATGCAGGATAGGTGAATTGGGTAAGCTAAATTGGCCAGAGTGTATGTGTGTGAATGCAAGAATGTATGAGTGTTTCCCAGTGTTAGGTTACCCCTGTGGTCAACCCCTGAGGTGAGCCCTGACCTCTGATTAATAAAGGGAATTATTAAAGGGAATGAATGCATGTTAATAACAGGTAGGACAGTTTTGGTGACCTGACAATATTACCAATCAGAATATGCTAACCACACCAGGTTAGGGTTACTGTTTGGGGTTGGTCAGAACAATATTACAGCCTCAAATCATGCTTTTCTACATATAAATCTACTGCACAATCTGATCGGTAGGATATTTCATCGAGTTTGATTAAGAGGTAGGACAATCGAACAAGGACAAATTGACAGAACACACCAGCTTATTGGGTCACTCGAAATACACTAGGCAGCATATAGGGCTTAGATATAGAAACTGTACTGATGACATTCCAATTGTGTGGTTAAGCACTTTTTTGCATATTTCAAGAATGTACTTTTATTTACTGTATATCTGTGTGCATACCTACCTAAAGGGAAAGTTCTTCCAAAAATGAACATATACTCACTATTTACTCTCCCTCAAGTGGCTTCAAACCTTTATAAGATTCTTTTTTTTCTGCTTGTAACATGGAAGTGAGCCAAATCTGGGGCAATTGTGTCCTCGTTTATAAAAAAAAAATACGTAAATTAACCTATTTTAAAATCATGAAAGTCATGTACTCATATTTTGATCTACAGGGGTTACATTCCGTGCACTCCCGTTTACTTGCACAAAGCAACCAACCGTGCCTAGAAAAAGCGAAATGGGTGCGATGGGTTCCCTTTGAAATAGACTGGACAAAGAGCGATGATCGTGCACCCAAAGTTCTGATGCTTTCAAGAGCTCGAGATTTAAAATACAAATACACACGGTCACTGCTTTCATTTTAATTATTCTTAGAAGAGTTTATTAACAGGCCTAACATTAACCGTGTGCACAGTTTGTTTCACCTGCTTTCTTTTGCTTACAGTTATTTTTGTTAATATGGTTGAACTATCATTTTTTACAGTAACATTGCTTTAATGGGAGATTACTCCCCGTTTATATGTAGTTAACTGGTGATCAGATGACAGATTACTGTGCATCTTTTAGATACATGCCAATCATTGCTTTTTTAATGTAATGTTTTTTTTAAAGAAAAGTTTTGTTGAATAAAAAGTGAACCTATAAAGCTATATTTTCCTTGTTTTTACACATTAAAAAAAATTGTGGCTAAGAAATACTTATTTGGTGTGGTCAGAGATAAATTTGGTAAATCCTTATTTTTGCGCCCTGAAAAGTCGTGAAATAAAAACTGATTGCATTGTGACACAGTCCATTTGCTCATGCACACTGAGCAAGCTAATACACAACACACACAAGAAGTTAAACAAATGAGAATGCATGTGAACACAACACAATATCTAAATCAAGTAATTTAGCATGTCAAAGTCAAATTTAAGCAAAATATATTTTCCCAACAAGAAAAGTGTGGCTAGTAAAAATGGCGAGTGGCTAGTAATGTTGGAAATCTACTAGCCACAGTTGCTGGTGAGCAAAAAAAGTTGATGTCAAGCCCTGGTTACATTGTACAGTATGTTCAAAAACTGCTAATTTGTTCTTTAATCAGACTACATTGTCACTGTGTATGTTTCACATTGATTCTACACAGGAGAATTATTTTTTACTGAATCATTGTTAAAAACTAGCACGACACGGTGTAGCAATGGGTAGCACTGTCCCATCACAGCAAGAAGTCGCTAGTTTGAGCCCCGGCTGGGTTAGTTTACATTTTTGTGTGGAGTTTGTATGTTCTTCCTGTGTTGGTGTGGGTGTTCCTCCAGGTGCTCCGGTTTTCCCCTCAGTCCTAAGACATGCACTATAGGTGAATTGAATAAGCTAAATTGGCCGTAGTGTATGTGTGGGTGTGAATGCAAGAGTGTATGGGTGTTTCCCAGTGCTGGGTTGCAACTGGAAGGGCATCCGCTGCGTAAAACATATGCTGGATAGGTTGGCTGTTCATTCCGCTGTGGGAACTCCAGATTATTAAAGCCGAAAAGACAATGAATGAATGTTAAAAGCTAATGATTTCATTGACTTCTTTATATACTGTAGGTTACAGCATCCAGGAGAAACACGAGTGCCATTTTGATGAACAGTCCAACACACTTGCCCCTCTTCAATGCATACAAACAGCATCAGCTCAGGTGAGTTTGCATCTGTGTATAACTCATGTGGCAGTCAGCTTGAATTAAGTGTAATATTGCACAGACACATTGCATCATGTCATAATTTAATCAAAATCCCCAGAAGCACCAGGGAAATCTCACCTGGATTCTTTACTGAAGAGAAACGTCACTTATCTTGAATGATCTGGTTTTGGATCAGCTATTCCGTTCATAAAACAGCTTAATAGTAAGCTAATTTTACACTGCAGCTGAGACCAAAGATCCTTTGACTAACGAGTGCCTGACTGAAACTATTTGGTTGCTCATTTAACACCTACTTCATGAGTGAAGACGAATGTCCCATTCTGCTCTAGGGTCACGGTACATGAACTTTTACTTAAAGGTCATCATTTGTGCTCTTTATCACTCAGTCTCCATAAAGAAATGACTCAATCTAATGTGAACACAAGGGCAAACCACATTAGCATGTGAGTAAAAGGTAACCAGAGTCCAACAAGTCTCCACACACATGTATGACCTTACTTCAATTTCCAGTGGAGCACAAAGCCCAGCGTTTGTGTTTGCCTGGAAAAAAGATTTTAAAAGCGCAAGACAGGAGATTAGATGTAGTGAAATGTGAGATGAGTATGTGTGTGTGCCTGGAATTCATCCCGTTGTGGGGACCAAATGTCCAACATAGGCTCATTCTGAAAACGTTGCCCTACAGTATATACATTTCTAGAGATCGCGATTTATATAGCCAGAGCTACATATGGTTGCATTTCATCTTTAAAACGAAGCATATAGGTGGTATGATGTCATTACTTTTCTTGCTTACCAGCTGACTTTCCCGCTGTTACCAGTTTGTCCGGTAGCTTGACACGTATGTTGGTGGACTTGAGACGCAAGTTTTAGAAAGCAGGTGTGACAAACAAAAGCCAAAAACTAAAATATATAAGTAAGTAACAAGGTGAGAATGTGGTAAAATCTGAAAACTTGGTTAAAATCAGGCTGCCATAACGGCTTGTTTTTTCTGGATTGCTTTTGAAAACACTGCGGTTGGATTTAGGGAAGTGGGTGGGTGGGTCAATCAGTGCTATTTAACGCACTATTGGTTGGGTTTAGGGAAGGGGGTGGGTGGGGTACTCAGTGGACAGTGACCTCTGATGAATTTATGCGAGAACAGCAGGCGCAAATAGCACTCGCCAGAGAAATTTGACATCAGATAAAGCGTACACAGCGGACTCTGGTGGATTCGCGAAAACAACAATTGCAAAAAACGTAGCTCCTGGGACATATTTTGCTCTCTCCAGAAATGTATATAGCGGTACGTAATCAGAATGAGCCTGGGTTATAAATGTCCTCACAAGTAAAGCAATACTAGTACTTTGTGACCTTGTAGGAAAAATTGTCATGACATAAGGAAATTGTCTAATAAATCATACAGAATAAAATGTAAAACTACTGAATGTTTCCTATAGAATATTACAGAATGTTTTGTAAAGGGTTGAGTTTAGGAGTAGAGGGAAAGAATATTTCGTGTGTACAATCTACAATCTAAAACATCCTAACATCCATAGGGAGTCCCCATAAAACATGAAAAAGAACGTGAATTTGTATAATGACATGGGCATGACATAAATGTTGTTTATGAGGACATGTCTTGTGTTCTCGTTATTACAAACCCTTAAAATCATACTTAACAAGGTTTTTTGATATTCAAACTTTGGGTGTCATGTTAGGGTTGGGTTTAGAGGTAGTGTAAGGCCATATTCTGTATAAAATGCATTACGCCTATGGAGAGTCCTTGCAAACCATAAATACATGATGTGTGTGTAGTGTGTGTTGTGTGTGTGTGTGTGTGTGTGTGTGTGTGTGTGTGTGTGTGTGTGTGTGACGTTAAGCGAGGAGCAGAGTG